CAGTCTCATCAACACACCAGCTAATCCTGTCCACCAGAGTCGCAGTGACCAGGGTGAGGTCTAGTACCCCACCACCGACACGCGTTGGCTCTCTGGTGTTGCGGAGAGCGATCTCGGGGAACGTCTCAAGCACGCTGGCTATGTGGAGGCCAGCCGCATCCGGTCCCCGGCAGGGAGCTAGGATGGGATGATGTGCATTGAAGTCTCCCCCAATGATCACTCGGTCTTGTGCAGCAGACGCACAGACCTTGGCTAATATCTAAGCTACTACAGCCTGGCCGGTTGTACACGTTGTACAGTTTGAGGGGGCCCCCGGCCAGGTGGATCTCTACGGCGAGAGATTCTGTCTCTTCTCCACAGTGCGGTGCATTGGCTATTGCGGAGCAGGGGATTGTTGCTTTGACAAGGGTGATCAGGCCTCTTTTGCCAGGCGTTTGTGGCAGCGTGAACGTGTGATACCCTGTGAAGCGAACAGTGTCCGCCGTTCGTGTCTCCTGGAGCATGACAACGTCGGTGCTCCTTGATCGCACTACTGCTTGGAGCATGGCATTCCTTCCGGAGAAGCCATTTATGTTCCACTGTAGGATGCTTAGATTGTGTGCAATGATGTTACTAGTCGATAGTTACATCTGAGACGCCGTCACAATCGGACCCCAACATCGCGAAGTCCTCTTCGGCTGAGAGTTCTTCGTCTGAAGTCAGGTTAACCGTGGGTCCACTGGGGGGTGGAGAGCCTTTGGTAGCTTTGACTTTGGAGGCTTTGGCTTTTCTCGCAGGCCTGTCTGCACTTCTTTTGGCTGGCCTTGCCGTGGCAGGCTCAGCACGTTCTGGCTCTGGCTGTGCAGACTCGGCCTGTTGTGGCTCTGCCTGCGATGGGCTTGCCTGGGTTGGAGCTGGGAGGGGAGTCTCGTCCTGAACAGAGGCAGACGCTGGTTGTGCTTGGGCCTGCTTTCTGCCTTTCAGGATCGCGACAGTTTTGGTCATTGCCGTCATGGCGACCGTCACTGCCTTCTCCTCCTCTTCCCTTGTCCTCCCTAGGGCTGTCGCCACTGCTGTCACCACAGCAGTCACGAGCAGAGTCATGTCTGCCTCGTCAAAGAGATCGTCATCTCTTGACGAGAGCTTTTCTGCCTTCTTAGAACCTTTCTTCCTTTGGTTCTTTTTCTGTTTCGGCATGTCCGGAAACTCCGTTGGGTTGGAGACGTCCGGTGTCGGATGTGGGGCGGCCTCCTTCCTCTTAGGAGGTCGGGAGGCCTTTTCACTTTTCTTCCTGCCCCACACATGAGTGCCTGGGGGGGGCAGGAATGAAATCTGATCGCTTCTCAGCAATCTCTTGTCGCTTGAGGGCCGCCTCTTTCCTGACAGAGCAAGTCAGGCTCCAGGCGTGATGTCTCTTGGCGCAGTTGGGACATTTGGCTGTTGTCTCCTTTTTCTCTTTGTGGGCCGTGAGGCATACCTCGGTGTTGTGTGCCTTACTACAGACACCACATTTAGGCTTGGCTGTGCAGTTAGCCTGGTGGTGACCGTATTTTTGGCACTTGAAACACCGAAGTGGTTCAGGCACATAGGTCTTCAGCTTGTAGGTGCCCCAGTTACCCAGATCAAGGGTAGCGGTTGGGGCACCTTTCAGTGTCACCAGGACTTGCCTGGTTGGAGTCTTCCCTACTGCCATTCGGGAAGCCTCCACCACCTGAGGATGCGAAGTGATTAGCTCCACATCGTACGAGACTGAGAAGCCAAGTAGCACCATCTTGGTTCTCTTATCCTCGGGCGTTAATGGGGAATGACTCACTTTTCTCCCATCTTTTAGTTCCCTGATTTCCCGAAGGAAGTTCTGAGTGGCATGATCTTTCGGCACTATGATCATGCCCTGGTCTTTGGCAACTCGGATTGAGAGCCGGATTTGCCTGTGCAACTCCAATGCTCTGACCAACTGGTAGGCATTGTCGAAGCCTTCGGGTTTGGCTGGGACCTTGAACTGGGTGAAGCGACTTTTGCTGGGTCCAGACTCTCCATCAGAGTCTGTCTCCGGCCTTGGTCGCTTCGGTGCGCCCTTTCGGCTGGGGGGCTTGTTCGTGGGGGCAGCAGCTGCTGGTTTGGCTGGTCCAGCCTGTGCTCCCGTCCCTGCTGGTCTGGAGGAACCAGCACGAGAGTCCATCTTTTTCACCATTTGATGGACTAATCCACCATCTGGAGCAAGGAATGGTTCCAGGGTGGCTGCCGTGGTCTGGGCCTTGCATGGGTCGTCAACATTTATCTCAGTCTGTGGGGTTTTTTTAATTAATTTTTCCATGTAATGGTAAGTGCTTCATCCTCTCACGCCCCCCCCACCACGGAGTCCAACAAGGGGAAGCTGTGTGTCAGAGCCAGTGTCTGACAGCCACAGGGGTGATGAGAGGATATACGCAGCCAATAACCATTGTGGCGGCACTCACGGACCATTGTGAGTGCCAATGGAGGCATGACTGCTTGGCCCTAGCCTCCCATGGGAGACCAGCCGATTGACCGTGACCGGGCCGGGATCAGGTCGCCTGTCTTGCTGGAATAGAGGACCAAAGAGGCGTGTTGCTAGCCGCAGGGCGTACTCATTCACGGCGTCGCTCAGACTCCAGGACTCCCGTCTCCCAGCGCACAAGGCTGCCACGCACGGCAAACGCGTGGGTAGGTGTAAACCCCTGGGGAGAGACCAGAGGGGATGCCCTTCAACCTACAGGACATCATTGTTTGGAACCCTAGTGCTCTTCCCTCGGAGAGGGATGGAGCTCTTTCACTTTTTCCAGTTAGTTCCTCTCCTCCCTCTGAATTTTCACCACAGTGAGGGAGGAGGGGGCCTGAACCTTTTTCAAAGTGAATTCCTCTTTCCAGCGAGAAAGGAGGAGTCCTGCACCTTTTATCAGGGAGGCTCGTTCAGCCCTCAGGAAGCAGCCACCCAAAGGCTGTTTTCCACAGAGGGAGAGGAGCTACCTTTCAAGGTGGTTCCAGTGGCGGGACAAAAAGCATTGTAGGAGCCAGTGTAGGTGTGAACCCCTGGGGAGAGACCAGAGGGGATGTTCTTCCACCTACTGAACATCATTGTTTGGAACCCTTTGCTCATCCCTCAGAAGATGCCACCCAAAGGTTGCTTCTCCTCAGTGAGGGATGGAGCTCTTTCACTTTTTCCAGCTAGTTCCTCTCATCCCTCTGGGACAGCCAGACAAAGGCTGTTTCACCACAGTGAGGGAGGAGAGGGCCTGAACCTTTTTCAAAGTGAATTCCTCCTTCCTCTGAAACTGCCACCCAAGGGCTGTTTCACCACAGTGAGAAAGGAAGAGTGCTGCACCTTTTCCAGTAAGCTCCTACAACCCTCAGAAGCAGCCGCCCAAAGGCTACTGCTTCACCACAGTGAGGGAGAGAAGCTAACTTTCAAGGTGGTTCCAGTGGCGGCAAAATAAGGCAGTGTTCTGTCTAGCAGCAGCTATTTCAACAGAGCTAATGCCAAAGGGGGGGGGGCTCCTACCTGCATATCGCCCTAAACGAATAACTAGAGTGGCAGTCATTAAATGGTCTGCCAGACCAGTCCCTAGCAAAAAGATTGACAACTCTCTGTGCACTGTAAGGCAGGCACGCTAAGGCCCCCCAGACACACCCTCCCCTGCGGGAGGTAAAGGTCTGCCCACGTCCGAGCACGCGCCCGAAGATGAGGTGGCTGCCCGGGTGACCCGCGGCTTAAATGGGCCAGGCACGATGTTTACTCTCCGGTCAGGTCCGGAGAGGTAAGCGGTAATTGGTGGTGGTGACTGGAACCTAACTCGCCAAACGGTGTGTGTCAGGTCCTACGGAGCGCCGAAGCTTGCCGCGGGCTGGTCACCACAAGAGAAAGAATAAGATAGAGAGAGAGGGAAAGAGAGAGATGGAGAGAGAAAGAGACAGACAGAGAGAGAGAGAGTTTTTCTCTTTCTCACTATACTGCTGATATCTTTCAGTGTCGTCACAAGTGGTTCTTACAACAGGTGTCCTCCATTTACACTCACACACACACACACGCACACACGAATACACATGCGAATACAAGACGTAATAATTTTTTGCAGATTTTATTGATAGTTAATTTAATCATCAGTGATGTTATTTAAGTATATAAGTATCAATACTGTCTATGTTTTTGGATCCGTTTAGTAAATTAAATTTTATCGAATGCTTGAACAAAAACAAAAGTGACATCAGTACACCTGTTCATTAAATTGAAATGTTTTGACGTCCTGCCATCTCTCTCTCTCTCTTTCTTTCTCTCTCGCTCTATCTCTGTCTCTGTGTCTGTCTCTCTCTCTTCCTTTATCTCTGTCTCTGTCTCTCTCTCTCTTTCTTTCTCCCTCTCTCTCTCTTTCTTTCTCTCTCTCTCTCTCTCTCTCTCTCTCTCTCTCTCTCTCTCTCTCTCTCTCTCTCTCTCTCTCTCTCTCTCTCTCTTCTCTCTCGCTCTCTCTCTCTCTTTCTTTCTTTCTTTCTCTCTCTCTCTCTCTCTCTCTCTCTCTCTCTCTCTCTCTCTCTCTCTCTCTCTCTCTCTCTCTCTCGTCTTTTCTTTCTTACTCTCTTTCTCTCTCATCCTTTCGATCTTTCCTTTCTTCCTTTCTACCATCTCTCTCTCTTTCTCTCTTTCTCTCTCTCTCTCTCTCTCTCTCTCTCTCTCTCTCTCTCTCTCTCTCTCTCTCTCTCTCTCTCTCTCTCTCTCTGATTCTCAATGGCTGTTTTTTTCTTATTTTTTGTTTTTAATCTCAAGAACAAAAACGGACACTGACCTCTATTCTTCCTGGAAGCATTAGCAAATTATTGAATATCAACTTTAGAATTGAATATGTATGCATGTATGTGCTCGTGTGAGTGCGCGCAAGTATTTGTATTTAAAGTAAAAAAAAAAATAATAATAAAATAAAAAAATAAAAAACTACGAATTGAATAGTAAGAATATTTACTCATATATTGGCAAGTGATTACAACTTCATCCTCGACTACTTCTATGTTCGCAGAGTTGCTTGATTCGCTGTATCGAATCACCGACATGGAGAGGGACACTGAAATTCCTAATTATCCTCATTGCAATTTCGCTCCTCTACCCAGTTGTTTATGATCATTTACAGGAGAGAAGGTGAGTATATGTGTACTGAAATTTTGTCAAATAGATATCTCTTTCTCTTTCACATACTTAAGAGTACAAACTTTCGTATTGTAATTTTTTTTCCTATTGCTATATATAAAAAAAAATCACAGATAAATTTATGTGTAATATACTCTTCGATCTTTTCGTTTGCACTAGTAAGGCATTTATCTCTGCAGACACTTAAAACTACAACCCATACTTACTGGTATTCTTATCTTTCCTCAAATATCTAACTTTTAGAACCTGTTGGAGGTTCCATGGGAAGGGAAGGTATCATAGTCCATGACTATATCTATGCTTTACTGAGGCTCTGTTGCTTCTGCGATACAGATCTTGGGGCAGTGGTTGACAGCCTGTACCGCCCAACATGTACTACAAAGCTGTAAATTGAGTGTTATCGCATACTACCATACAACGAAAAAGATATAGACTGGAATGGTAGGGGAAAAAATACGCAAGTAATACTTATGCACAATTTGTGAGAGTAAAACATATGCACAAAGTATGATAGCAATACATATGCACAAATTATGAGGCGTTTGTGATTGGTAGCTAGGGTGACGTCAGGGCACCCTTGCAGGAATAATATTGCCTTCTTGAAGCACCATGCATTGCAAGCGCTTCCTCCTCTAGCATGCTGTAATTACTCTCTGCGTCTATTAGGTGTCTCCTACCACACTGTGAGAGGTTCCAGTCGCATTGACAGCAGAATGGAGTTTCAGGAGTGTTACACTGGCAGTACTCCTACAGCACTATAAATCCGATCCCCTGCCTGCTGTAATCCGTCACAACCAGTGGGTCACGTTATATTGTAATATCGCAGTCCTTCAGCCACCAAGTTTCCTACAGTGTCCACGGACTTTTAGAAAATGCCTTGCAGCAGCAAGTCCCAGTAAAGGTGGTTTCTTCAGGAGTTCCCGGAACGGCTGCATTAGAGGCAAGACGGCGAAAAAGGGCGTTGCCTACGAAACCGAATCATGATCTAACATCACTAATGGATGTTGCTGTAGTGTATGGAAGCCAATGATAATCTTCACGAGGTTGCGGTAGTCTTCCCAACTCAGGTGATACCCAGCAAATAGCATGCGCCTCCTGCAGAACTTCAACTTCTCAGGTCACGCACAAGTTGCTTATCTTCTATTTTACCACTTATGCTAAGGATTTATGTGTCTTTACGGATTGCATGTCAGAGGAATTAGAGTTGTTGCACTCGGATCAATTCTAGAAGCTCACGTCCCTGTCCAATTTTTCTGAGGGTCTCTTCATCGGACACTTGGTCAGTGTAAAGAGTGTGTAACATGCTGTGGTAGAACCTCATTTCTGCAGCCTTTATATTGCACCTTGTTCCAACCATCATTGTCCAGGACTTGCAACCATATAGGAAAGTCGACCATAGAAAGGTTTTAATGCGTCTGATTTTTATTTGTATTGAGAGTTTGGGGTCTTTTAGGATGTTCTAGAGTTTGGAGAATGTATCTTTTGCTAGTCCAATTCTGTTTCTGATTTCCTTCTTGCAACGGGTATCTGAGGTGACAAGAGCTCGTTATTAATTGAAGGAAGAGACCTTGTTAGATGTCTATTTCTCCTTGTTTCAATGGACAAGTTGGTCTCGGACTACAATATGCATTTTGTATACTGCTATCATAAAGGAGGGTGTTGTCTATACAGTTTAACTTCACCGTCACATACATAAACAATTTCCCACTGATGTGTGCCGGTATGAGGTGTCCCCATGGCGTTATAAGTGAAGCATTTGCTCTCTTCGTTTAGCAGGATCTAGTGATATCCTGAATAAATATCAGCGCCTGTCTTGTACGTATATTTGGCTACACTGGAGATCACATCAAAGGGAGTTCTTGTGTGGTGAGTCGCATGACTGATTCAGCTTCTGGAAGTCCACAGTCTCTTGTGGTTTGCCATGACATGCATGCACACCATCTCATTGGCTCGCCAGCAGGTACTGGTTCAGTGATACCCTTACTAATGCCTTTGAGAGGGCGCTTCACCTCATCAAAGAAGTGGTGTGGAATATTAGCTGACGTGTGCGCTGCATACTGAGCGGCGTCGGAGCGCATGTGAATATGGTGAGCAGGGACAGCTAATTCAGGTAAAGTTGACCAATCTGTGGCAAAAGCTGTTCTGTTGAAATGTTGCTGTAGCCACCTTTTGAGCTTCTCGATGTTCGCCAATGAGTTTGTATGATGGTTTCTTGGAAGTTGTGGCAAGAGCAGTTCATCACCATCCCAGGCAGCACAGATTGTTGTGGGAGTGCTGGGAAAATTTCTTGGTACTGACAGTAGCTCCTGGCACACCTGCTTATTGTACACGCCATCCTCCCCATAATCTTTATATCTTCTTGCCCAGTGGCCCACATGGCGGTATTTGTTGCAGAGGGAATAGATAGCCGGGCATGCATCGCCACCCGTACACTGCTGTAGGCCGTATGACTTACACCTTGCCCCCCCCCCCCCCCCCCAGCACACATGTTAGCAAATAATCATCAAGACTTACAACCTGGGCACTTAAATTCACACTCGACCTGGTTTTAATCATATAATCACAGATATTGTCACTGCTTCCTCAGCTATAATTTAAGATATATTGCCATGCACCTACCTTGCACCAAAGCCCTACCACTAAAGTGTGAACGATCCCGAGGGCCTGCTCAAGGGATAAAGCCTCCCATCCGTTTCTACTTGCACAAGTGTCCACTGTTTTTTTGATGTCCTCGTCACACAGCCTCTTGGTCTCTGGGCCACTGGTATGACCTACTAATGTCTTGCACACTGCGGGCCACACATGTTATTCTGTTGCCATCATGTGCAGTCTGACCATGTCAGGGTTTGCTCTCTTGTGCTTAATCCCTTCACTATCTGGAACGAAAGCCTCTTGAGGCATTCAGGCATATTTATGTCGCTTTGTTGCTGCCTTGTTGTGGGGTTTCCGTCGAGTCTAGTCTGACTTCCATGGTTCCATGCTGTGGCCTCCATGGTGGCGCCGGCGTATCCATCGCCGGCTCCTGTCGGCGCCTCTTCGAGGTCCGTGACTGCAACTCTCGACCAATTAACCGTATGACGAGGACATCCAAAAAACATTGGACACTTGTGTAAGAAGAAACGGATGGGAGGTTTTATCACTTGAGCAGGCCCTCGAGATCATGCACCCTGCCTCTACAGGCGGCTCTTGTCATAAACGAGTTTGATAAACGTCGGTTCACCATCCTATTCATTTCGCCATGTTGGAGGTTACAGTGTAAGAGAAGAAAAAATATCACGTTCCATTACTCCTTCAATATTTTTGGAGCTCTAGCGATACAGATCTTGAGGCAACGGGTGGCCGCCTGTACTGCCCAACATGCCGACGATGTTGCTTTTAATCTGACACCTCAACAGAACCGAAATGTTATGATTCCTTCGTCTGTTTGCAAGCTGCTATATATATATATATATATATATATATATATATATATATATATATATATATATATATATATTAAATAATGGGTCAGATATTTATTACGTTTTGTATTCATGTAATAATTGATTATAGAAAATTTACCTAACACATCTACAAATTGTGCTTTAGGGCATTAATTAGTTACAATTCTTTATGTACCATTGTTTGTTTAAATTTTTGAATGTGATTTAACACGGCTGTTTGTTTTTTTGTTTTCAGTATGACAACGAACAGTATCCAGGATCAAAGTACGTCACCTTATTGAGTTTGGCTACAAAGTTTCCTGAACGTGGCCGCTATGACGAAATGCCGTCTCTTCACGCCACGTCATTTTAGAATGTATATATATATATATTGCTTTGTCATATATCTCGTTCTTTCTGTTAACATAGACCGAAGAAGCTTGATTAACTAGCTCTTATCAACAGACAGTCAGCCTGAGGTGCAGACCGTCATAGTCGAGAAAGAGATATCCTGTCCTATACCAGCCTTACAGAACTACAGTCAGTTCTATGAAGCCGTAACAACTATCGAAATGGGATGCAACAAAACTGTGAGTTATTTAATGTTCCGTGCCTTGATGTTATAACTTGCAATCCAGAACACACATTAGGTGTAGGAGAATATATAAGGAATTTCTAGAATACTGGAATACAGGAAGTTAAAGTGGGGGGTGGGGGGGGAAGGGGTTCAATTGAGTGAAAGGTCACACAGATATTGTCAAATGGAAAAAAAAACTCATTAAGACATTTCACATTTGCTTTGAAACTATTTTCTTCACTTTTTTTCTTCGTCTTAGGGTATTGTGACATAGAAAAAAACACTTTATAGATCAATTTCAATTTCGTACCTATCAGAAATATATAAAAATAAGGTAAATAATGTATAGATTTTTTTTTCTGTGTGACTACATACACACATCCATCCAAACATATATATAAGGAAACATACCATCCTCATTTCTTGTTTTTGTTTTTTGTTTTGCTTTGTGTGTGTTTTTTTTTTAACGGACATTATCCCCTTCTGCAGAAAATGTTCGGAAGATCGTCATCGCGCAGGAATATTTGCCTCGACCAAAAATACAACATAACCAAGTCCAACTGCCTCGCCTTCTCCTTCGGCATCAACTACGACTATTCCTTCGAAGACAGTTTGGGGAGATTCGGATGCCAGGTCGGATAATTTGCACATTTTTTTTTATATAAACTATATATCCATAGCTGCGCACGCACACAATATATATATATATATATGTGTGTGTGTGTGTGTGTGTGTGTGTGAATATATATATATATATATATATATATATATATATATATATATACATATATATAGTATATATATATATATATATATATATATATATATATATATATATATGTATATATGTATATATGTATGTACATATATTGTGTGTATGTGTATATCTATATATATATATTTATATGCATATATATATATATATATATATATATATATATATATATATATATATATATATATATATACATATATAGGGGGAGGGGGGAGGAGGAGGACTTAAAATAATAACAGAAAAGAATCATAAAAAGAAATACTATCTCTTACTTGGAATCAGGGTTGCCAGACATTTCTAAAGAGGCAAGAGTCAATTACTTTATGTTATTAATGTGGGTCGTTTTCCTCTGAAGATCACTAATTAACTAATGGTTGGTCTATACTTCCTTAGTGCAATTAGTTCTGGTAGTTTTGAATTAGTTGGTTTGAGATATGCTATCTGGAAATATTATTTTTGTACATTTGAAGTGTATTTTTTTTTAATATTCGTTTTTGATAAGTTATATTTTTTTATGGAAGCAGAGGTGTTTTTTTTATTTGCTTCCTTCGTTTCTATTCCTTAATTTTTTTGTGTATGAAAGTCATTCTTTCATTTTCTTACTTTTATATTAATTCTTCCTTTTCCTTTCGCTTTTTTTTTTTTTTTTTCTTTTCGTACGTTTGAGATTCTCATATTTCACTTTTCTTTTTATATATTCCTTCTTTTGTTTTCCTTATTTATCAAAACGACAGCATCCTCCTCTCTCTTCTACTCTCTCTTTTTCTCACTTGGAGACACACAGGCACACTCATCCTCACACACACACACACACACACACACACACACACACACACACACCACACACACAAACACCTACACTCATTCACACACACACACACACACACAACAGCATCCTCCTCTCCACCTTTTCATCACCTCACAGCCTCCAGCCTCCAGCCTCCAGCATCCCTTCTCGTCCGCAGGTCTTCGCCTACGACCCGACGATGAACAAGAAGGACCACCAGCGATCGTCTAAGGTTCGTTTTATCGCGACCGGGATCTCGAACTACCAAGGGAAGAAGGTGGTCGGTATGGGCAAGAAGTGGGTCGCGAGGAAGGTAGGTTCTTAGGCCTTTTTTTGAGGCTGTTTATATATAATATATATATATATATATATATATATATATATATATATATATATATATATATATATATATATATAATATATATATATATATATATTTTTTTTTTTTTTTTTTTTTTTCTGCGAGTGGCGTGGGGGTCCTTGGTTATGTGTGTATGTGCTTGTGTGTGTATGTGTGTGTGTGTGTGTGTGTGTGTGTGTGTGTGTGTGTGTGTGTCCAGGTAGGGAGAGAGAGAGAGAGAGAGAGAGATAGGGGGAGGGGGGGAGGGAGGGATATTCAGATTCAGATTCAAATAATTTATTTAGCCTGTAAATTTGATAGAATTTACAGCATGTAAACATATTGTTTTGGCGGAGTCCTTTGAGAACAGAGTGCTCTCTTAAAAGGAACCTGCCTAGTTTTATATTTAATATATATATATATATATATATATATATATATATATATATATATATATATATATATATATATGTATATATATATATATATTTATATATATATATATATATATATATATATAAAATTTGAGTTAGTAATAGAGACAGAGAGAGAGAGAGAGAGAGAGAAAGAGAGGGAGAGAGAGAGAGAGAGAGAGAGAGAGAGAGAGAGAGAGAGAGAGAGAGAGAGAGAGAGAGAGAAGAAAGAGAGAAAGAGAGAGAGGAAGGGAGAGAGAGAGAGAGACAGAGACAGAGACAGAGGCAGAGACAGAGAAAGAGACAGATAGAGAGAGACAGAGAGAGAAAGAGAAAGAAAGAGAAAGAAAGAGAGAGAGAGTAGCATTAGTAGTATGAAATTATTTTTCATTCTCATCATTATCATCACCACTACCATCACCATCACCATCCTCACCATCACCACCATCCCCGACCCCATCACCACCACCATTACAAACACATAATCACCATCCCCACCATTCCAACCACACATCACACTCTCTTAATTCCACCTAATCACCACCCCCTCCCCTCCCCCTCTCCCCCCTCTCCCCCCACCCCTCCCTTCCCTCCTCCTCCCTGCAGGTCGACCGATTCGAGAACCTGGTGAAAGCGGCGGGGATGGAAGGTAGGCCTATTGACATCGTGAAGCTGGACGTCGAGCTCTCCGAGATTGACTTCATGCAAGATATGCTCTTTAACTCCCGCGACGTGTTGAAGAACGTCAAGCAAATAGCCATGGAGATTCATTCGGATATGGATAGTATGGAGATGGGGATTTACTCTTTGCTGTGATTATGATATATGTGTGCACATTTATTTATTTAACTTTGCGATTTTTTGGGGTCATATTATGATACGCTTTCACTTTGGATTTTTTTTTTTTTTTTTTGCCATGATATGACATACACATATAGGTAGGTATTTCTATTTTCACAATGTTACGCGCATATACATAGAATTTCTGTTACCATGATGTGATACTCTTAAACACTGGATTTCTATCGCTATGATGTGACATACGTGTGCTCTTCGGGTTTCTCTGGCTATGCTATGGCACATATACCTATAGGAGTTCTCGCCATGGTGAGACACATGTATGTACGTAGGATTTCTCTTGCCATGGTGTGACACTCTTAAACACTTGATTTCTCTTGCCATGATATGACATACCCTATATATATATACACGTATGCTATGATGTGACATAAGCATATACATATGGTTTCTCTTGGTATGATGTGACACTTAAATATTAGATTTCAATTGTCATAATATGACACACACGCTTTCGTTCATTTGGAAATACAGACACAGAATCACAAATTACACGTCCTTATGATAACGTACCGCATATTTCCTCTAAACTCATCCATCTTTCCCTCTGTTCTCTCCTCCCAAACAGAACATGATGTGAGTCAGATTACTTCACATCAAGTCTTCTGGCCTTACTTACAGCTCATGAGATGCGCAGGATTCAAGATCATTTTCTCAAGATCAGGAGGTCGGTGGCGAGAGGTGGTTTTCGCCCAAGATAAACAGTGGTGATATATATATTGGTATATATATCTACTTAATTTTGTAATTGTCTGTCGTTATTTCCTCTCTCGCACCCCCCTTTTTTTAAGAGAACA